TAGAGAAGGAGAGATCTAGAAAACGATTAGGGAACGTTCAACTTTATGAGCGGTATAGTCATATGTTTCGTTATCTTCATAACAAGGAGGTTCCTCTATACTAAAGTTCCAGTCAACGAGCTGGGACGAAGGTCATCTGCGTTCTGAACTCATTCCTGTCGTTGGAGACAAGACGAGACAGCCGTGAACGTCCTGTAGAAGCGCTCTGATCGCTCTGTCAACCTGGTAGATATGCTCATCAAGGAATGAACCGCTTCAGGGAGTAAAGGACCATCCCAAAGGTTGCCGAGAAACGGCTGCAGCAATTAATTCGTCATCCACCTAAAACAAACCGGAGTAAAGACCAGGACCACATTTGGCAACGATTGATCATTTTATCCTTTAGGCTGCGTTCACGCTCGAACTGAGCGTTGTGCTGGAACTGTTCCCGGACTTCGGGGGTCAGTATGAACGCAGCCTCAAAAAACCTTTGCGCAACAGCCGTACTGAAGGAAACTGCGCGAAGCGATTCAATGTTCATGAAATTCGAGACCTCTGCGACATTTTCATTATGACAAGCTTTAATTCAAAATAAAGCGATTTACTTCATTCAAACACTGCATTGTTCCTTTTGGAGCTTCTCAGCTCATTCGACTAAATAATAATCTCATCAGGTATCTGTCAACTTAAATGCAATTTGATGAAATTTTGTGCAACTAGTTGCTATCAAAACAGCATAGACCCTCACTTTATAGGTTTGAATATTAATAGGTACAAACACTCGGCTAAAATGTTCTTTTAACTGAGGGTGGTATATGACTTACTGCTATAATTGTCCAATTCTTCTCACCTTGCTTCTATGACGATTCGATGCTGGAATAAGCTGATTCTGATGTTTCAGAACTTTGAATCAGCTCACCTAAAGAATCTTTTTATTGACTGTGTGTTTTCAAGCGAGCGAAAATTTTGGGAACCATCTACTAATATTTCTCTTAAAGGGCGTTTCGTTGCGCTACCCCGAAAAACACTTCCTGGATAAGTTGTTGATATTAGTCGTCTATATTATGGCTCAAGTAGTTACGGTGTGACCATACAAACACCCTATATATAGAGTTCTGGCACTTCTTAGAAGGAACTAAAAACCTTGATGCAGCGTCAGCATGGTCGAAAAGATGTACGCAAGCAAGGATGAAAATCGGTGCCAATCCTAGGAATGTGAATTTTAGCGGCTCATTTACAAGAACACCTCAAACAAAGCGCCTTTTTTCACAAAGTTGCAACTTTTCAAATTAAAATTGTCTGTGAAGCTATAGTGGCAAAGTCTAAAGTGCTACACGCTGAACCCAGTGCAGTGAAAAAGCAGCGTCACTCCTTGGATAACGTGGATTGCTTTTGGAGTAAGTGCGCTTTAGAAACATCTGTCCTTCTGAAGTTTTAGTATTCTAATCAGCTTGTGCGACGGCTTCAAACGTTAAGCTTTTTCGATAGATGTTTCGTTTGATGCATAGAAAAATCCTGTGTTTTCGTCGCATTTTGCACTACGTTTCAACTTTAGATAGGATTTGGAGACTAAAAATTATGCAACTGGCTAGAAAAAGATCAGCGATGCTGGCATTTGTTTTAATTACACAGGCGTCACGTCATAATATTCATCCGGCGAGGAAAGCATGTTTAGTCGAAGTTGCCATTTTGTTTAGTTGAAGTGGCCATATTGAAGGGCATAAAATGCTGATTCCAAACCTGCTAACCTGTTATGAGCACTTATTTGAGCAAAAAATTGAATGTGCAAGTAGGACAAAAATAGCCATAATAATTTTTCTAGTTCTTTAATACAGCTGTGATGATAATCAATCATTATTCAAAAAATACCCTAAAATAAAAAATCACACTTGGTTGCATTATCTGAGGGCTAGTAAGATTTGGCAACTCATTTTATTCTGAATGCACATTCAATTTTTGGCTCCATGAAATGCTATAACTTCTCGTCCATAAACGTTCCTTAATAAGTAAGGCAGCTTTGGAATCAGTGTTTTATCCTTCAGTATAGTGTACATCTCATTTCAAAAGGCCATCTCGACTAAACAAGCTTTCTTATGAGAAAAACAGCAGCTTTTTGATCACTTTAGCTTTTGTGGTTTCTGCTGCAGTTGCGTGTTTCTTAATTTTACTAAAAATCAAGTTTTACGAAGAATTAATTTTTTAAAGCTGTAAACAGCAGATCAGGAGAGTCTAAAAACATTATCATTATTATTCTCTATTCTCTTTTTTATTCTCTATCATTATTCGTGTGCCTCGCTTGCTTTGGAATGCTCAGAAATATTTAGAAACTAATGGATTATAAGAAAGGCGGAGTAATTAGCGCTAGGACGAAGCGGTTCAGAAGGGCATACACCCACATTACCGTATAGTCTGGAATTTGCTTTCCTTATGCCACACTTAATCCTTTCTGTAAGCTTGGAATAGAATTTTTAAAACTTAGCTGTACATTATACAGAGAGAAATGACGGGTGAAGAATATTTTGGCAATTATCAATAAACATATTGAGGATTCTGGTTTGAACGTGTAACCACAAGAAAGAGGAGGAAAAATTGCATCGAATGCATGTTGAATTAAATTTTGATTGTGCGTGGGGTTCACTGTCTGACCTAATATACACATTGTCGACAAAATTTTAACAAAAATTTTCACCAACACCACAGCATACTTGTCTTTACTCTCCAAGAGAGGAGTGACGCGAAAGGTTTATAGATGCAAAACCAGCAATGCTTTAAGTATGGCAGAGCGCTTTTTAGTCAAGGCTCCTACTGTAATTCCAAAGTAATGAAAAGAGATTGTTGATTCGTTTCCCTGCAAGTTTAAGTTTAAGATGGCTATACATTATGATATATAAAGTTCTTCGCTATTGTAAAAAGTGAATGATCAGCAAACGACGAATACACATGTTGAGATGTCATGTAAATACAATATGAGCAGCAAAGGCAAAACCAACGTATCACCGAGAATCCAGCGCATTTTGTAGTATTCGATTGCTAAAGCTTTGTGCTCTGCGCAACTTGCAAGTGTAACTCCTAAAAGGCTTTCTAAAATCTTGAGACTAGTTGGTTCATGCTCGTTTACATCTGAAGACTGAATGAGACATTCTTCCGGCGTCTAAGGCAAACCATTCTTATAAAACAGGAAGCTTCAGTTTCTACTAACTTGTATTTTTACACTAAATTTACACCATCTCAAAGAAAAATGACTTACAAGCGGAGGATGCTTTTTCGAAGTGGCTTTTAAATATGAAATGTATTTTGTCTTATTGTTCATAGAACTTTGATCTGGGACAGGAGTTGTGGGAATTCTTTGAGGTAAAAATTCAAGGATTTGGTTAAGGTAAAAACGGGTGTTGAGGTCTTTTCGGGACTTAAAAGAAGTGATGACTAACATAAGTTTATCAAAGTGAAAGCACTCATTGGATAAAGCGCCCTGGAAATACCCTAACTTCAAGCGTACGAGCGATTTTTCGGTTTTTCAAGCAGACCGCTCAGCCGCTTCATTGTGCTTCAAAGAGAGATTCTTATGCCGCACGATTCTTTCAAGTATAGGCAGCATGTTATGGGGCTCTTTGTTGGCGAAATCCTTTGGCGTGTTTGGGCTGCTCGTTTTGGAAAAGATCCCCAACGCCTTGTAAGCGTGGAATTAGGTCATCATACCTATTTAAAGGCAGTGTCCGGGCAAGACCTCGATTTTGAGATTTTGTGCTTACCCGCGCCTATTCGCTACGCTGAATCCGAAAATCCACATTGGAGAGCGCGAAAACGATGAAAAAGGGCTCTAACACTGGAGGGAAATCAGCAAGTGGGCGGGGTCTTCCCCAGGGTTAACTCACGGTCCCAGCTCCCGGAGCGATCTTTTCGCTTCCGACTTCAGGTCATGCATTCGCACTTGGTCCGTTGAGATGTCAGGGCGGTTAGTGGAACTGAAAAGATCGCTCCGGGAGCTGGGACCGTGAATTCACCCTGGGGAAGACCCCGCCCACTTTTGATTTCCCTTCTGCGTTAGAGCCCTTTTTCGCCGTTTTCAAGCTTTCCAGTGTGGATTTTCGGATTCAGCGTAGCGAATAGGCGCGGGTAAGCACAGAATCTCAAAATCGAGTTTTTGCCCGGACACTGCCTTTAAGCCCATGGACTACGGTTCTGAATGATTTTATCGTAGCGGTTTCGTAGTTCAGGTTTCTGCATCAAAAAATTCCACTAGCTCCCCTTCCAGAAGCGCTTTGCAGATAACGAGAGCAAATTTTAAAACAGTGTATGTTTGTAAGACAGCATACATTTTTTTATGAAACCGCTTTTTCAATTTAGTGTCCTTATTCAACACTGCAGAAGACAAGGCCGATGCGTTTAGTTCAACGTTAGAAAGGTTGGTTTTCCTCCATTTGCTAAGTATATCATACTCATGTGCATTACATTGCGTCGTTTGTGTTTTCTCCCAGCACACATTTCACAACGTTCATATCGTGGATTTCAAGATCTTTTCAGCTCCCATATTTTTTGTACACATCGCATTTTTCCGTTTTATTCTTTTCAAATAAAGGTTTAATTACCTAAGTTTGAGGTAACTGTTAGTAGACAAGCCTCGCATGGCACATCGTTATTGTGATCGTTTGTAGTAGATGGTTATTTTTATAAATGCCTCTCGTCCACTACATTTATAACAATCTGAGATGAGCCTTCAGATTGGAGCTTCTTCTAACATTGAGTCAATGCTTCCTACTTGTTGATTTCGGTCTTTTAGTAGTTTGAGTAGTTTCTTATAAAAAAATCAACGGGTTAATTTGCTGGACTCGCAGGTTTCAAAACCAAAAGCATGAAACCATTATCTTCCTTTTGAGGTAAATTTTCATCGATTGTTTTTTTATCCTTTGAACTCCAAGGTATTCGAATCTTTCATACTAATAACCACGTTCTAGCTTGCAAGCGATGCTTATATGCTCTAAATGAATCAAAGTATTTCGTAGTTGATTAGATATTGATCGTCTTCCCATGTTTGATTTGCCTTCGAAAGAACATTATTGATATTTGATATTTCCATTGTTTTTCAGTTACAAAACAGCGCGTATAAATGTTGAGCTTTAGTGTAAAGCCGCTTTCTTGCACACAAAAGACCTCATCATTGTAGTGCAGGATACGTCATTCCATTTCTGATATGGATAAGTGTTTTCATTGACACAGCGGTCAGCAAAGATCTGAAATTAGGCATATCCATATATGATAGAATGAACTTCCACTACAAGCAAAGTCATGCGGTTTATGAGGGTTTATCAGACTGAGCAGTGAGTTTTCTTCTAGTCTACAGATCGCTCACATGTACAGAGTGCGTTAAGAGCCTGGGAGCCGAATACAATACTGTAAATTGCAAAACTATTGATGATTTTTTGCTTCATTTTTAAACCACATGATGCTGCAATCATCTTCTACAAAATAGACTTTCTTTAGCCAAGAAATGGCTGCCGTGTTTTCGTAAGAGTTGAAGTTATCGCACTAGTGCTTTTGCAAAGCGAAAATATTAGAATTTTTGGTATTTACAATCTTTTCCGTTAGCTAGAGAGACTAGTAATACTTTACAACGGTTTGACGCGTATAATATACAGTGCTGGCCATAGCTATAAAGCCACTTCAAAAATCAGTGTAATTTGCTCTATTCCGTTCAAAATTGTCTGAAGAATCACTATTCTGTGTGCAAACTAACATCATATCATTGACCAGGACAGCTCCCAATTTCACTGATTTTGGACGGAGAAAAATTGAAAATTTTGAAAACAGGGGTTTCCAAGGCTGGTCAAAGCTATAAAGCCACCTCTCACTTCCAGTCAGTACTATGTTTGAACCTAAAATTCTTGTACAACATCAAAATATAAAACATTTATCACACTTGGAAGCAGTCGTCTTTTGAAAAGAAGAATCATCCTGCATTTCTTGCTTCAAAATGTATAAAAAGTTATAATATTCGGAAAAACTGCCTTCTCACCGAATTCTCAAACATTTGTTTGACTCGGATGGAGGTCCTATGTTTCGCCAAGCCTTTGCAATGAATATGGTAAAAAGCGCAGAAGTCGACATGGCGTAGTCGCTGATATCGATAAACGAGCCCCAACCTCACCTCTAGGTAGACGAGTTTTCGAACCGCAGAAACTGAGTTATAATGTCCGAAAAGCTCTGTCACGTGCTCAGCATGTCCTGCTGTACAACAATATACTCGTGCGCATAGCTTGAACGTCATCGCAACCCTCAGGATTTTGGTCCCGCCTTGGACGCCTTCTTTCCAAAAATGAGTGGTGCACTCTGTTTGAGTCTGCCACACTCTGACCTCTAGATCGAGCGGAAAACCGCCCAAAACTTCAAAATTCTAGTATTTCTGATATTTCTGACAGTTTTGTAAGATTTGACTTGAAGATGAGTTCAATTTTCAAAGGTTGAAGTTTATGTGAGATACACTGCACACAACCGAACTGCAGACAAAGCGTTCTGCGTTCACTGCTGCAGATACGTCTTTGTAAATAATCTGACAGCTTCTGCATGAGTACGTCACCATGCAAACAAGGTGTCAACTTCCAACCGAAAATTTTCGCGCATCAGAAATCGAGTTTTGCATTGCAGAAGCGTGCTTACACCTCGGTAAGACGAGGCTTGTTTATCAATATCAACAACTACGCCATGTTGACTCAAGCGCTTTTTACTATTCTCATTGCAAAGGCTCGGTGAAGCCTAGGATCTATATTCGAGTCAAACAAAGGCTTGAGAATTCGGTGAAAAGGCAGTTTATCCAAACATTATACTTTTTATACATTTTGAAGCAGAAAATGCAGGATGAATTTTCTTTTCGAAAAAGCGACGGCTTCCAAGTGTGGTAAATGTTTTATATTTTGATATTGTATATGTACAAAAAATTTTTGCCTCAAAAAACGTAATACTGATTGTAAAGAAGAGGTGGCTTTATAGCTGTGACCAGCCTTGGAAACCCCTTTTTCCAAATTTTTCAATTTTGCTCCGGCCGAAATCAAGAAATTGGGAGCCGTTCTGATCAATGATATGACGTTAGTTTGCACACAGAATAGTGGTTTTTCAGACATTCGAACAAGAGAGAGCAAAGTACAGTGATTTTTAGGGTGGCTTCATAGCTATGGCCAGCATTGTAGAAGAGGCTTTGCGCTATTCCATCGATTTGCGCTAACCACATCTATTTTTTAAAAGTTGAAAATAAAAGTTTGCGTTACTTGCGTGCCAGTGGCCGTCTGCTTTTAGAACAAATTTCAAAAGTGTAGAAGGGAAGCAGGCACTTAATTTAAGGCTATATTCTTTTCATACCTCTTTTATACACGCATCTCTTTGAATTCGTACTTTTTTATCCGCCTTTTACAAAAAAGTTTCATTCCTGATATCTTGTAACCAGCTTTCTCTATTATTCTCCACATTTGCCAAGTGCAAGAAGCAGTCACCTTGAAAGAGTAGGACGAACTTCAGTACGACTACTGATTTTAAAGCGCTGCATGTGAGCCAAAAGGACAATTTAAAAATTTGGAAGCTGAGCTTATTTGTAACGGTTGAATTATGTGGGCACCAATTTTCTAACTTTTGAGTGCTGCTTCCTTTTTGATTTATTGGAAAAAGTACCAAGTTCGCAGACTTTTGGCGCACCCTGTACTAATTGTAAGTCATTTCGACAAGCCCTCCCCGTTATCGGGTCCGCATTATCACATGGAGATGATACCTGCGTGCAACTCTCCCCTGTACCAAAGTTATCCGGCTGATTTGGAGCCCATGCCAGGTAGTCGACTTTTGTGCCGTCTGTCCATGTCCAAAACTTGCGGTTAGAACCATTTTCTTGTTTCAGGCCTATCCAAGTCGGATGCGTAAATTGCTCCCACCTAATTCCCGTCTCCGCCAGAGCTAACATGATAGACAATGCTTATCTACATCCGCATGGAAAGAAATTGAGTTACCAGCTACGAAAGCATTTTCTTCGAAGCTATGGATAGACGTCAAATGTCCTCCATTCATTTTGCAAAAATTCTCTGCGTCTTTGAAGGTTTGCCAGAAATACGTCTGCAAGAGCATTTTACGGTCAGTAAATTTACATCAGCGAAAAACCGGTCGAAAAATTTTTTTGTATCTTTATGTGTCTGAATGTCTGTTTTTTATCTCTTCGTATCACTTTTACACTAATCACTTAGAAAGTTTAATTTGAAGTTTTTTTTTGAATTTTAGCGGCTCCACATTGCCTTTAAGAGAATCGGCGCCTACTTTCAAAAAAAAATTATAGCAGAGAAAAGGCAAGAAGAATGACGGAAAAATCAAAAAATCAATAAAAAAAAATCTCAGTCGTTTACAAAACATGTGTATCTGCTGTATCTGTTTTGTGGCAACCACTATGCCGTTGATTACCCAATTCCTAATATGTGGCATATTTAAATTTTGGTCGGCTTCTAAAATTCTAGGAATGGAGAAAGGAATGTGACAGAAATAACCTCTAACCCAACAAATTGGGCCACTGAAATTACAGAGCTTATGAAACGGAGTCTCGCTTGCATAGCATCTCCACTCCCGCCCTGGAGTCTGCATCTCTTCCGCGAAGATGCTATCTGATCACTTTTTTGATCATTCTTGAGTTCTGAGCGAGCGTGAGAAAGGCGGAGCCTCAATTGATTGGAATTGATTAAAGAGCATTTTCGCAGAAGAAACGCAGAGTCCAGCGCGGGAGTGGAGATGCTGATGCAAGCGACACTGCGTTTGATAAGCCCTGCACAAGTACCCAAATACTCGTATAGGTGCAAAAAGGAGAGACAGAGCCTAATGAGCCCCGCTAGGAAAGCATGTAAAAAAAATGGTATAGACTACGTCTTTTACGAAGTAAGATTTTTTTTTGAATTTTGATTTTTTGATACGATTGCCGCATTGTGTATTGAGAGCTTCCACTGTTTCCTGTAGGATTCCACAACTTTACAAAGTTCAAATTGTTTTTATGATCTAGGTGTTTGCTTCAACTGCACATGGGCACATTAATTCAAACTATACTGAAAAACAAACTCATAATAGTGTCCGTTTCTTAAAGGCAGCGTCTAGGCAGATCTGGACCAATGGGGCTTTTACGTGGAAAGTACTTTTGGGGCCCTAACTAAGGCCCTGCCCAAGCGGCAGCTCAGGTAGTGCTCTAACGGCTGAGATATTCCCCTCGAAACTGGACCCGCGACCTGTTTCGCATCGATTCATGGTGCAAAGCGCGGATCCTGGCGCGAAACTGCCATGAATCCATGCGAATACGTTCGCGGGGGCCAGTTTCGAGGGGAATATCTCAGCCATCAGAGCACTACCTGAGCTGCCGCTTGGGCAGTGCCTTAGTTAGGGCCCCAAAAGTACTTTCCACGTAAAAGCTCCATAGGTCCAGATCTGCCTGGACGCTGCCTTTAAGTATCCGCCAAGATGTCAATCGTTAGCGTTTATCGCTCTCATAACACTAACGAAAGCATCTGACGGCTATTCAAAAACATTTGGCGCGTTCAAGTTGAAGATGTGCCTAATTTGCACTAGACTACCAATTAGACTTGGAAGTACATTATCGGAGTGAGCGGATTCGTCAACGTGTCAAGCGTGTCTTGATTAGGAGTTGAGAGTATATTCAGAACAAAACTGCCAATAATCAGGAGCATCTGCCGTGGTATTTATGAATAAAAGGAAAAGACCTTACTCTTTTAGGCTACGAAACGAAAATAAAAGGACGAGATTGTATTAGGTCATTCCGAAAGTATTTTCGCTTTTTTCAAACAGACGCCACAAGTGACGGAACGAAGGTTTCTAAGAGATCTCGAGGGCATTCGATGCAAAATTTCATTCCCTTTCTAATGGCTGTGAAATTGTTGCAAAACAATCAATGAGCTTTCAGAAAATAACCAAAACTTGCGACCTATGCTTTTTGAGATGGTCAAGTTTCACGATTTTTTAAAACTTTCATATCAATCCTCAGAAGGAGCTCAAGTAACGATTCGATAGGGTAAACCTCACAGAATACAGCACTACTTTTTTCTCCTTTCCATAGCTTGTCATACATTTTTAACAGAATTTTAACTGATGCTACCGATTTCCATACTTGGGCAGCTAAATCCTCGTAGAACATCAATGGAAGAGCAGCTCGGGCAATATTCGATGCAGCATTTTCTTCTCATTCTAATGAGTGTTTTTTGTTTCCGATTCGTTTACTTTTTGGGGATACAATCATCATAACTCATTCTTCTAGCGAGCCCCACGCTGCACCCGAAAAACTCGAAATTTGATATTTCGAACCTGTAAACCCTCACTTGCTTTGTAAATTAATGCTAACTCATAGTACCATCTTGGTAGTCTCAAATTCCGAAAAATTTATGATGTTTGATGCGATTGTGGCTGAGGTGGGCCTGCCAAAATCCGATGGTTTTGTTAAAAAAACTTTCAAAAAAATTACGGCGGGCTACGAGAGAGAGAAAAAAGTAGTACTGTATTCTATAAGGTTTACTCTATCGAATCTTTACTTGAACTCCTTCTGAGGATTGGACTGGAAGTTTTAAAAAATTGTGAAACTTGACCATCTCAAAAAGCACAGGTCGCAATTTTTGGTTATTTTCTGAAAGCTCGTTGACTGTTTTGCAACAATTCCATAACCATTAGAAAAAGGATAAAATTCTGCATCGAATGTTTCTAGGATCTCTTAGAAAACTTTGTTCCGTCACATGTGGCGTCTGTTTGAAAAAGGCTATTACTTTCGGAATGACCTAATATATAACCCAAATGATTTGTGATTCTGTTTATAAGAGAAGTAATTGGTGACCGTGGCCCTTCATTGTATGTTGTATAACTGCAATGCCCGCCTTGAAATGTTGACCTTGAAGCTATATTTATAATAGAACTCCCTTCTGAGAAAATAGCGCTTGTAAGGCTAATTCAAAAATGTGCGCACAGACAGAGATCAAACCGGCTCATCATGCAATAATTGACGCATCTAACCGTTGCATTATTAACACATCTAACATTTATCGACGTTACTCGTTCTCTTGTGCAAACACGTCAGATACGACGAGATACGGTATTTTTTTGAAAATTACGAGAACGAACAAACTTTTGAGATCAACCTTCAGAGCAGGGTAAAGCGGGGGGTGCGGCACGCCGCAGGGGGGGGGGGTCGTTAGGGGGGGGGGTAGGTAGGGGGGGGGGGTCGTATCGACCCAAGGTCAAAAGCACTTGTACAAGCTGTGTGACTAAATTGACTTGATGAAAGCGCTGTTGAAATCCTGCAAAATTCAAGTTCAACGACACAAACTTGCAGATACCGTATGCCTACCGTAACCTACCGTACCTCTAATCAAGCATAATTGTCGTAATCCGCGTGTCGAATAACTCCTATGCGCCAAGTTTCAGCGAACTCTGAGGTCTCCGAGCAGTAAACAACCTTGTATAAAGCAGTAATTTAAAACATGATTAACTTCATCTTAACGGTGAGTAAGCTACCTCTTCTTGCACTCAATACAAAGCACTACTCCTTCTTTGTCCAACTCAGGAATCCCGCTTCAGAAGACCTCCAAACTATTGAATTAGAAGCCAACCAAAATCTCGTTTTTCCCATTTTTCGCTTTTGATCGCTGTGCTTTCACCAAATATTACTCAGAGCTAAGAAGACGAATCAGGCTCAAAACCCCTATGGAATCTACGAGGTTTAGGCTATTGATTCATTTGAATATTGTCCGCTAAAAATGTTTTTTTTGATATAGTTAATGGCCTGCGGCACCCCTCCTCAAAACCTGCGGCTGCCGTAGGTTTTGAGGGGGGGGGGGGTGCCGCAGGCCATTAACTATATTAAAAAACATTTTTAGCGGACAGTATTTATATGGATCGATAGCCTAGATCACCTAGTTTTCACAGGAGTGATTTGAGCCTGATTCGTCTTCTTAGCTCTGAGTAATATTTGGTGAAAGCACAGCGATCAAAAGCGAAAAATGGGAAAAACGAGATTTTGGTTGGCTTTTAATTCCACAGTTTGGAGGTCTTCTGAAGCGGGATTCCTGAGGTGGACAAAGAAGGAGTAGTGCTTTGTCTTGAGTGCGAAAACGGATAGCTAGTTCACCTTTGAAACAAAGTTGACCATGTTGGAATTTGACCATTTCACTTAGGTAGCCTAGTATCTTGAATCTTCAGAATTCGCTCAAACTTTGTTTACAGGGGTTAATTGACATGCTCATTATGGATATGTTGCCCATTATGTTTGACAGGGCCTCCAAGTAATGCTATCTCAAGGGTATAGTCCAGGAGGGTCTTATTAAGACAGCAATCAGGGGGGGGGGGGTCGTAACCAGCGATCGTGTGCCACACCCCTTGCTTGACCCTGCTTCCGAGGCGAATATCATGACATAATCACATATCGAAAGGCCACGATCACCACGGTTATTATTTTTCCGTCAGTGGATAAAGTGTATAACGTAATAATGCGGTATTACTAACCGGGAAGAAACCCTCCGTCGAAGTGGGTTTACACATGTGATGCATATCGTTCTGCTGGTCTTAGGACACTAATACCAAATCCGTGTTCCTTAGCTGCTCAATGATGTTGTGGGGAAACCTATAAGCGGCGGTCTTCTCAGGATGACTACGGCCCACTATAAGTTTGCAGGCGCCAATAAGTACAGGTTGAACGGATGACCGAGTGGATAGCTGATAGCTGAGTAGAATACGGAACATGCGGTTAAAAGTTTGGATTACGTGTCTAATCAGCACTTTGTGTTTTTACAAATTGTTTGGTAAAATAGCAGACGCTCCCAATGCAAGGAAACCTTCCTAATGAGCTGCTTAAAAAAAAGATTGGCGCTAATCCAGCATGAGCGCCCCAAAAACTTAAAGTCGTGGAATTCACTCAAACTCTTTATAAGGGTTAGATGCCGAAACCGAATCATAGATGCGATAAGGTGAGAATGACCCCTCTGGCGTGAAGGGGGTCACAGCGATCGCAGCCCCTCCCGGTGAAGGATGTCTCACTTGGTAGAGAAATTATAGAATGCTGACTGGGGAAGAGGGTGAGCCATGGTGTTCT